AAGCGAACAGCTGAGTTATGCCTACAACATCTAAATTATGCCTAATTTAAGATTTTAAGTTTAATTTTAAGCAAGTAAAACTAGTTTTTGGAGGTGTTTAGCTGTATTTTGGTAACAAAGAAATTCAAAAATTTACTGCAAAAAATATAGAATTTTTTTTTGAAGTTTTTGTAGTCATTTTTCTGCAAACATTTGTGTCCAGTTTGCCTATATTACTATGACTGTCAAATATGCCTAAATTTTATTTTTACGTCAGAGCCTTTTATCACACCAAAAACTACACTAATTTGCAAAAAAAACTTTCTAAACCATAGTTTTCTAAAGACTATTGTCGGAACATTCTGTGCTACTAACCGACTATCCTTGTTTTATTATATTCAATTAATTGTGAATAGCATTGGGAATCAAATATGAATTTTCTCGTCTTTCCCACAATTCGGATCTTCTGATTTCCAAGTTTTCATTTTCAGTTACTGTGAGAAAACTGCAAAGTATGGATTAATGCTTCGAAGAATTTTTGGTTGGGCTGATTTCACTGTTTGATAGTCAGTCTTAAGTTTGTAACTTTTTGCTGTTTTTTCATTGTAATCGAATTGTTTTATCGAGTTATTTGCTTGTTTTTTTTTCAAATTTAATCTGCTTGACTTTTCGACTTATTTACCTCGTTTTGCGTTGTTTGAAGGGTAATTACGTTGTTATACTTGTATGTGTTTTAGTATGAATGGACATCAGAACATTTTCTGTGACAGCATTTTGTTTTAGGCTCAAGTGGCATATACACAAGTAATCTTGGCTAAGTTGCTAATTGAATGATTTTGAATGCTTTTTCAACGTCGGTGATTGTGTTTCTTGATGTAGTTTCTCACATTGAAAATCATTTGAGAAAAATGTATCAGATTTTTGTAGGTTGTTTTCGTTTCGAGTTTTTTAATAGAATTTCTTCCCATCAGTGACTTTTTTCCCATTTTGCCTCATATGCTAGCTTACTGTGCTATGATTGTTGTATCGCAATTATTGCAAAAGTTCGTTTCGCTGCTTTGTTGAGAATCAGGAGATCAAATTTGTCAAGATAACAAAGTTAATAAGAGATTTGGTTGTCTAATCGTGTGAGTCGTCTGCCAAATCGATTTTGCAAGAAGTTTCCTCTGCATTTTTAAAGGCCAATCATGCCACAATTGAAAAGATCGCGGGAAAAACTAATTGCGAGAGAGACTGTTTTTTTTACACAGAGGCCAGATTGCTTCTTACACTTGCGAGTGCAGGTGTATTGCAACTGGGTATTAAGAGTAATGAACTCTTGTATAAATCTTGATGCACTCAGGTATATATGCACTTTTCGAGTTCAACTGAAATTCATGTGCTGCAACTAACGTGAATAGCACTCTCCCAATACGAAAGTGCAAATGACGCAAAAATTCGTGAAAAATTTCTAGTTTCGAAAGTAGAATTTAGTTTTTAAATTTCCAGCGGAATAAAAACTTTACCTATTGACCTAATTTTCTCTAGTTAAAATTCATCAAAAAAGCGCCAATCATAAATTGTTCTACAAATTCAAAGAGCTCAAAGGGCATCTATTTTTTTCTTTGAAATTCGAAAGTTTAGATTTTTTTAAGATAATCAATGTTTTTTTGTTAGTTGCGTTCATTACTCTGCAATCTTCGATTGGCTATGTTTAGATGTTATCGCTTAAACAAGATGTTTATGCGACGCAGTTGCTTGAAATGACGGATTGTCCAATCAATTGGATGGTAACTGCAACAGACAAACTTTGAGCATGTTATCACTACATTTTGTGTTATCGGCGTTGTCACCGTTTGAAGGGTAATGTGATATCTCTAGTACCTGTATGACGTTGTGCTTTTTTAAAATAACATTTTCATATAGTTTTGCATGCATTTGATAATACAATTAACCGTGCTTACTCACGCAAACGCTTGAGTACAGTACAATTACGATTTCACCTTTTTTCCGACCCAGTTTACAGGGTTGCCACGCGGTCAGGGCCATTTCAGGGCGAACAAAAACTTGTCAGGGCGAGCAAAGTTGTGTCAGGGCAAGGAGCGTGAAAGAGTTGCTGGCCTTTTAGTTTTAATTCAAAGTCTTAATTCAATTGTTTATTTAGCGTCAACCTGTAATTTTTTCTGGGGTCTGACTCGCGAACGTTGAGTCATCTGCGTCGCAAACTGGCTTCAAGATGGTGAATTTAAATTGTGGGCTGCTAAATCAACAACTGAACACGAGTTCAGATAAGTTCTTTGTAAGAAATCATATACGCTGGGCAAGCTGGGTGTCAAAGCACTCCGCTCCCGTTCCGTCGACAATTACGTTTGATTCTAGATTGAACTCATTTGTTCAAGCTAAAAAGATAGATTTATTCTTTGAGAGTGACAAATATCTGTTTCTAAGCCAGGTGCTGATATTTTCTAAGTATGGATTTATGGTCTGGGTTAAATTGCTGATGTTCGGACTTGGTGTTGGTATGGTAATATCGTGTGCGTATGTTGTTATTTTGATGTTGTTATTCTCAGATAGTGGCATTTGAGACATATATAGGTTATAAAGGACCGGGGATAACACACCAACTTGGGGAAAACCTTGTTTCACCCTCCTGCGTTTGGTTTCCATGTCTCTGAATTCTACGTAAGTGTGTCTATTGCTAAGATAGGCAAGAATCCATCTTTTAGTAATATTAGATAGGTTCGAGATGGCGATGTCGTTGAGTAGATAGTAGTGATCAAAAGTATCGAAGTCTGCAGTCAAGTCTAGGGTGACCATTAGTGTTCTTTGACATGGTTTTACTTTGTTCTAGCCAATTTTAATGTAAAAAGAAAAGCAGTACTAATTGATGTTTCTATTCCAAAGCCGTGCGCTGATTTTCACGAAAATCTATGTTTAAGTTAAATTCAAGTAAAAGTATGCTCTCTACGACAGCAGTGCAATTGGTGTAGTTCTTAGCTTGTTCTGGATCTTTTTCTGGTTTGGCTAGGAGTATAACTCTTCCAACTTTCCAGTTTTCTGGTATGACTGCATTACTCGGTGAGAGGCTTAGTGACTCACTGAAAAGTTTGATAGTAGCTTTTTTTTCCAATGAAATGTAGATGTATTGGTGCTATGTTGTTTGGTCCGATCGCTTTGCTTTTCTTAGTGGACTTAATTGGATCTTTCACCTTTTTCATGGAAATTTCAATTTCTTTTGCTTCTAGTTGCTTTATCTTGCGCTTAACTGCCCTTTTTTCTTTTTTGTTTTCGTTTGGGTGGGGGTGAATTGTTCGTTGAACTTGATACAAATTTTTGGGTGCTGTGAAATATGCTAGCTGCTTCAAAACGGCCGGTTGCTAGAAATTATTCATGTATTTCTTGTTAATATAAGTTCCTGATTGTCTCGGATAATTTATTTATTTTTTTGAAAAAAGTGATTCATTTAAGTGCTAAAAATTGGCCCACCCAAGTTTTCATCAATCCTAAGGGAGGAAAAAAAGAAGCCTGATTGCACTTTGAACAATGTTCCGTCTATGCATTGGTGTAGCACACCTATTAGACGAGGCGCTACAATTTAATCAGACGCATCGTGCAGTGATTAGATGGAACGTTCATTACAATCTCGCAGCCATTAGGGATCCCTTTTTTTTATAAGCCAGCTCAAATTGATTCAACTTCGATTCGATTAAAGGTTACAACCCTTAAACTTTTTGGTCAGCTTAACAAAAAATGGCACATTTACTACAGTGCTAGCTGTAGCTATAGATGGTGCAGCAGCTGATGCGTAGATATAATCAGTTCGATTTCGCCGTGAAATAGCTCCAAAGCTATAAAGAAGTGATGCACTAAATGATCATCTCAATGTAAAAATCGAACAAGAATTTAGAGGAGCGCCAGGCTGGTTGAGATGAAAACTAATGGAGCAACAACCTGCTAAAACAGTTCAGGATTATGGAACATAAAACAGTTAAACGCTCCATTCACGTTGGGACGTGAATGGCGAAAATTGCTAGTGTAATTTGGGACGCGAATGGCGAAAATTGCAAGTGTAATTTGGGTTGTGAATGGCGAAAATTGCGAGTGTACATTGTGGTGAATTGCGAACGGCGTTTAGCTCGAAGACTTTATGAAAGTTCAAGATCACAAGCTTGACTATTTGTAAGTTCAAATAAAAAAGCGTAGACTGAATGAAATTTGCCTTTGAGAGTTAAGTATTCAGGATGACACCACCACAAGTTTTCTACGAAATTTAGTACGTGTTACGGGACAATTAATTGCAGCAGTTTAATATCCTGATCATGCTGATATCTTTTTTGATCCGAGTTTGTCATGAACAGTTGAATTTAAAGAGTGATCAGCTGAAGAGTGATCATCAAACCATCCTGATATTGAAGATGTTTATATTTGAATACACAATCAAACAAATTCCTGATCTGAGCTGTGAAAACGAAATATGCAAAGCAATTTGTTGATTGACTTATAATCGAAAGCGGCATGCTCAACCAAATTTTCTACGGAGTCACTGGACATAACACAGAAGCAAGCAATTTGGTCTGCCAAAACACCTTCGGAAATAAAGTTAATCTAATCTTCTCTTCAACATGTCCACCGACTCGGCTGGGATAAGTGTCTGTGAGGCTATTCTAGTCGCTCATCGCAAGGAGATTTTTGCTGGCTTCCAGGGTTGTCTGTTGTGTATTATTTTTTTTGTTGATATCCATCGTGTTTCTGGAGTTCAGACGAAATCATCCTCCGATTGCCTCAGTGATGTCGTATACTGCATTTTTTTGCGTAAACATAGCTAATAGGAGTTATATCCGCTTAATTTTAATGAATTCATTGCCACATGATTTTTATTGGCAAGTATTTGTGAGTGAGTAAATAGCACGCAATAATGGTTGCGTGTAAAGATGTCTTGTTTTCTTTCAATGCTTATTTTTGTATTTTCTCAAATTTTAAGTTTACTTGTACCCGTTGTTTGACTGTGACTGCAACTTGTTATACAGTTTGTTTTGTTTTAGGGTGTGCAGGACTTCCAGACCGAGGCAGACAGAAGAGCTCAGCAGCTGATCATTGGTAATTTGAACAAATTGCATCCAAGCCTCGTCTGTATCGGAGAGGAAGACGTGAGTTGTTACGTGCTTATAAACAAAAACTTCGCTTATGTATATGTCACACAGACTTTTTGTTTGTTCATGCTCAATTTCCATATTATAGCATTTTGATTTTTGATTCCTTTTAAGCTCACTTCCTAATTCAAAAAATGGAAAGCAAATTACGCTTTCAAACAACAAAAGTGCAAATTGTGCAGATGCTTGGAATGACAAAGCCAGGTGTTTGATTCGTGATTTGACCTGAATTTTTTGCCTATTTGTGCTTATTTTTTGTCGAGTTAGTTCCCGCAGCAGAGCGTTCTTGAAGGTTCAGGAATATTTTAAACCGTTTTGAATGCTATTTCGAACTCCTCTTATGTGGCAGGTAATTGAGTTCCCAGATTTAATTAGCATTTTTTTCAATGAATTTTACGATTTTTACGATTTTTGGCATCATTATGTGCGTAATCATTGTTTGTTTTTACACTAGACCGATGGCATAGAAAGAACATCTCAAATGACTTCTCCGGTTAAACTTCTTATCTTTGGAAAAACCTAAATTGTTTTTTTTTTCAGTTAATTAGTTTGCGGCTTCAATATAATTGGCTTTGTATCCGATTTGAGGTTCTGCTTCAATTACTAAATAACGTTAGTATGCAAGCCTATGACCATCGTATGTATAACGAATGAAATCGAAAATGGTTTGTTTTTCGTGGATTCTTTTGCCTGCTGGATGTTTTTGTGTGGAGATCTGTCGGCTTAGCTTTCGCTCCGCGTAGCTAAGTTTTACGGTTTAAGCGGTTTCAAAGCTGATTTAGAAGTTTTAGGCATGCGAACGATATATTGTATTTTGTAATAAACTGACGTGCTGTATTGCATAAGTTGTATTTTGTAAAGTCTTTTTGTAATAAATCGACTTCTACAATATTTACATTTCTCTTTTTTTTAAATAGTATTACCCTTGCTATTAGCAATCGCGTTGCAACCGGGTACTGGATTTTTGATTTTTACCCCGGAAATGACTTGTTGGCCCAAAGCTGAAAATTGGAAATTTAATCTTCTCATGCAATACGCACACGTGCTTCTTATATTGAGCTTGTGCGCGCTTTCTGTGCTGGCGTTGCTGACGATGTGATCTTGCGATGTGAGTGTTTTTAGCGCTATCAAAAGTTTTGGTTAATTTTCAGCTTAATGAGTGTCGGCTTTATTTCTGTCGGCTCATTTGCCTAATATGTTTTTTAACTGATTTCTAGTTGTATCAGTTTTTGTGAATCAATTTGACAATATAATTCGATAGTTTAAACTCAAACTCTCCCAGCATCTTTGAAAAAAAATTTTACGTTTTTTTGGCTATTGGTTAGTCCTTTTCACAATGATATCGTCGTTCGAATGTTTTTTGATACTTCTTGAGTCGGGTGCTGTGTTTATTACACTTGACACAAGCAGGCGTATCAAATCAGAATGTATACTTTTGAGTTTATTAAATATTATGCCAAAGTAACTAGAATAATTTGGCTGATTGATGATAATTTCGAACTTCTTAGCAATTCCGGAACACTTAATCTAGAGATAACGTCTACGCTTGGCACGGCTAGGGGGTGTAGATCTAAATCCGGTCAGGATCTTTTTTTCTCTCAAAAAAAGTTATCGGCCCATCTTTTGACTTCTGGCTTTATCGGCTTAGTTGATGCCACATCACCGACTTTTCTTCTGCTTTTAGCCGTTTTTCGTTGCAATTGAAAGCGGTCTTGGTTCAATTCTGTTATTTGTAAATTTACTAACTCTGATTTTGTAAATTCATCTTTTTTCTTTTTATTCGATCAAAAACTTTAGTCGGCCTAAATGGTTTGAGCTGATGTTTTTAAGAAACATTAACGTAATGCAGACTCTTATAATAGGTCTTGGTGATTTTTTTAAAGGAAAAAGTCTTATAATGCTCTAATAACTACAGATGTGCATTCATACATGTCAATTTTTTTTCTGTTCACTAGCGTTCATTGCTATTAATAATTTTTCAGCTGGCTATGTTATTGGCTTATTGATTTATTTTCGTGTTGTTGGAAAGTAAAAAACGGAGTTCAATCTGTTTGTATGTCTTGAGAGTTAGAACTTTCCGATTTTAGAACTTTTCTGCTCAATAGATCTCAGTTTTTTGAAAAACAGGATTTAAACATGATGTGGTCTTAAGCTTAGCGATTTGTTACACGCAAAGTTAGTGTGGATGCCTTCAGTTTGTTATATTCCTAAATTTTACTCGCAAAATTGTGTCTATTGGTATTTGATGCAATTTTTCTGAATCGCATTGGCAATTTATTGGCATATGTAGCTGCTTTATTCGTGACTAGTGTTAAGCATGCGTGGTTGAGTTGTTAGTGCGTGATTTTCAAAATCTCTTGATTGCAGTCGGTCGCAGATCGAATCCTGGACCTAGCCGAGTTTTTGCTAGGTACATATTTTCAGTATATGAGTTCTGTTCATGAGTTCTATTCGTTTTTTTGATAGCTACTTTTTACCAATAGTCTTTTTTCTGCAATTGACAAAACAGGCTCTAAATCGGTAGGCTAGAATTTTGCTGCTTTATGGGGCAATTCTTAAAGCATGTTTTTATTTGCGGTTTCTTGCATTTTTAAAGCTCTGTTGCCATTTTTGCTTGTTTGCAAAGTCCGGCTTATCCTCTTTAATTTCTGATAGTTCAAGCTACTAACAGTTTTCTCTGAATTTCAACTTTCGGTGCTTTTTGAGTCTAGTTTTCAGTGTAATATGGAAGTGTGATTTCATCTGTTTACGAGCTTTAGAGCGTAGTGTATTAGTACGAACCTTCTTTCTTTCAACCTAAGTAAAATTTATTAATTTATTATTAATAAATTTAAAAATTTATTATTTATAAATTTATAAATTTTATTTTTGCAAGTAAAATTTTTTTCGATAAAAATCTTCATTTATTTGGTGGCATTTTTGCTATATTCACGCTCTCTAGCATTGGAATTTTCATGTCATCTGTTCTCTGTTTTATTTTTTTGCTAGTGTTTGTTATTTATTTTTCAACTTCTAAGTCTTCGGGTTTTCGTTTACTTCAATGGTTTTTGTCGGCTAGGTTTCTTTTTTTAAAATTATTCCTCATTTTTTTCGCCTGCGTTTTGTGTTTGCCGATTGAGATGACTTGATTTTCAAAGTGTAACAGAGAATACATTGATCATGCTAATTTTTACTCTTGATAATCTTGACGTTACCTGTAAAACAGGTAATTTGTTTTGTTTCATCCAAACACGGGTTTTTTCTTCCAAAAGTTATTTACATAGTCTATGCTTTTGTATAGCAAGGGTGCAGGATCCGCTTTGTCTATATTCTATTTTTTTCGAGAAATTATTTTTGTTCCGAGCACTCTGGAAGAAAGGAAAAAAACTATGGTAGAGATCCGTTTGTATTTTTTTCAGCCAATTTTGACTACCTGAAGGAAAACTCGTAGGGAGATTTGCTTTACTGAATAAAAATTTTTGGTTTTAAGACTGCATGAGACAAATATTCATTGGAGTCTGACATCCCGGATACAGCTTTAACGGGCTGTTACTTCTTCAATTTTAACGTTATGTTGCCATAGTTAATTCTCATTCGTGCAGTTTTTTCTATTCAGTTTTTCTTTGTTAACAAAAAAACATACAATAAATCTATAAGTCGGCCTAACCACATATAGAAAAAGAATTGGCGTGAAAACGTCTTGTCTTGAGTAGAGATGAAGACAAGACAACTTCAAAACTCTGACAACGTAGTCTCTAAGAAAAACAGTCATGGTGATAATGCTGATTTTGGATTTGCTTCAGGGTCTTTCAGAAACAGTGGAACATGCAGACTCGGAATTAGACGAGGAGTGTTTATCGGCAACTTATCCCACAGTGTTGTCTTCATTGGAAGAAAACCAGGTGCCAATTTACATCTTTCTAACTAGATTGTCCTCGAAATCGAACTCAAACAAACAATTTTATCAGATCGAAAGTAAGTCTTGACTAAAAAATAATTTCGAGTCAATAATTATTGTAGGCATGAGATGGCATATGCTATCTTCAATACACGGATTGTAGATGATTGCCAGGTTGTAGAAGACCGATAATTTGAGAGTTTTAGATCACGTGCTGGGTGGATCCCCTAGATGGGACTAAAGAGTACACGGAGGGTGGAGGTGAGTACAATATCTCATTAAGTTGTGTTATTAAAAACCTGAAAGCCATTATTTTTTTAAAAGGAAATGTCGTGATACTAAAAAGCTTAAGATATTGGTAACGCAATGGTTCTTCCAGCTGCTAAAGATAATCATGAGGCGTAGAATTTTGGATCTGTGTTCCATAGAGCCATACTGAGCTTGTGTTACAATCGCGCTTTTTAACAGTCGATGAACGTAGAGTCCACTCTTATATAGGTCTTGATTATTTTTTGTATTTTTTAAGAAAAGTCTAAAAAATGCTCTAATAAAAAATGAATTGCATTCATACCTATAAATGCACATATGAATGCCCTTAAGTATATATGCAATTCTCGAGTTCAATTCAAAATATTTGATAGAAGGTAGGCAAAATACACTCTCCAATTATTAAAGCTGAAATGGCGCAAAAAACGTGATCGATTTCGAATGTGGAATTTCATTTTAGATTTCCCAACGGAATAGATTTTTTCCTAACAACCGATTTTTCTCAAACTGGGTTAATGTTATCGAAAAAACGCCAATAATAAATTGCTCTTGAATTTCAAAGAGCTCTCAGTTTATATGTTTTTTGTTTTAATTTGTTTTCTTTGCGTTCATTTTTTTCCTGTTTCTTTGCGCTCATGACTCTTTTCCAGCTGTCTGTTGGCTATGTTTTTTTGATAGCAATGGCGAGTGTTTGGGTGAAAATTCTTATAAAATAGAGTTAACAAGCGACTCGATGTTGCTTTTTAGAGTGGATAGAACACGTGACTGTGTTGATTGGGCTCTCAGTCGCCGGCAGAGCGATGGGCGGAGTTATCCACCAGCCCTTCTACAAGTATTCAGAAAACAAAGTGAGTTTGTACACAAATCGATGGCGGTTAACTATACATTTTCAGTCGAAAGGTTGGTGGTTCGAGGCCAATAATGAGCTCTGTTCGTTGCTTGATGGTGAACTACCAATTTCCAGCACTGAAGAATCCCCAAGATTATTGCATGAAGGTTCGAAGCAGGGCACAACGGCTGTGCTTCATAAAGAAAGAAACAGCAGGAAACGTCTTAAAATTTGTTCAGGCCCAAATGTATTTTTTCGTGGTTTGATTTTTAATTTCTTTAGTTCAGTTCATTTTTTTTCTTAAAAGGAAATCATACTCTGCCATCGAACAGCAAAAAGTAAAGATCACGAGAAACCTGATCGACTTCCAATTTCGAAAATAGAAACTGCGAAATAAAAATTTTACCTATTGATTCAGGTTTCTCAAATTGGGTTAGTTCTATCAAAAAATATCAACAAAAGTTGTTCTAGAAATTCAAAGAGCTTTAAGGCCAGCTATTGATTTTTTTAAATATTAAATCAATTTTCGAAAGTCAGTTTTTTTGTTTACTTGCGTTCATTGACTCTTTTTCAGCCGTCTGTTGGCTATATTATTGTTTTGCTGTCTATTTGCAGGAGCAAGAGGTCAGTGAGATAGGTATGTTTTTGTAAGTACCAAAACAATCATTTGTTCCGAACTAGAAAATTAGCCACCGAAGTACTACAAGTTTCAATTGGTCAACTAAAGAAAGAAAGAAAGAATTAATTTCTCAATGTTACTAGAAAATTCATATCGTATTGCGCATAAATACATCAGTATCAAAGAGGGGACAGCTAACGATCCCATAAGGGATACTAAATGCTGCCCCAAAAAATATTAGAAACATGAATGATGTAGTTAGTTGGGTTTCAAATTATTATGAAATCTAGTGCATAAATTCTACATATTTGCAAAAATAGAACGAACAAAAAAAGGTGAAATATAAAATCATACATTAGAGGGTCTAAAGGCCTACTCAGAAATGGCATGATTTATCTCCGTTTTAAGTAACACACAACATAACTTAGTTTATTTAAAACAGTTGCAAATGTTAATGAACTGATTATAATATTTACCTAAAAAAATACAAGTTTTTTCTTTCATTTTAAGCCTTGGGCATGAATATGAAATTTCTAAGTGATTTTTAGGAAAAACGAAAAAATTGGGCATAGGTTCCCCCTCAAGCGGGTAATTTCGGCCCATTTTGGAAAAAAAAATTATGTTTTTTTTTTTTTTTTTTTTTTAATTCTTAATGGATGCGCCACTTTTCCGAGACTTTTATTCAGTAATCTAAACTCACAAAGAGTCCGTCGTACTAGGTTTTCTGGGTATTACGTCAAAAAAAATCTCGGGTCCGTGGAGCAGCCATGGTATTTTAATAATTCCTATTATTAAATCTATTTTCCATCTATCCATCATATGCAAAAAAATATATCCTTTTAAGAATAATTCAATTTAATTCTGGCAAAAGATAAATTTGATGAGTTCTTCGTTGCTTAGAATGAACAGATCTCTAATTCAGTGAGCCATGCTTTGAATATTTGCCTGTGAAAAATTAGTGAATTCATTGGGCATTAAAAAGTTCTGTTTAAGTAAGTTGTAAAGTTTCGTTCCCCTGTAACTTATCGACATTCTCTGCATTTTGGTTTTTAAATTAGGAATTTTTCAGTCTCCCATATGTGTGCATGGTCGTTCCATTAAAAGCCAACTCTTGCGAAGGGTTGTTTGTTTTTATTGCTGGGGCATGACCGAAAATGACAAAGAGAATAAAAACGGTTCTTGCCCTGCTGTTTCTGGCTGTTCCAAAAAAAATTAATAGACAAACAAGGTATCGCATATATCCAGGGGCGGATCTAGTACTTTCTCGAGGGGGGCGGATTTTCAAACGCAGAAATGGGGGGGGGAGCTCTCCCAAATAGTATAAAGACCCCATTATGACCCAATTTTCTGCGCGGCCGGCAATTTTTTGAAATAAAACAGGCCAAAATTGGCGCCTTTTAAAAAGTTATAGGGTCAGTCAGCCAAAAATGGATATCTAAAAATAGTACAAAGGGGGAAACTTTTGGGTCGGCAGGGGTCGAATCCTTAGGGGGGGGGGGGGGGGCGACTACCCTTAAATTTGTGTCGAATAGTTTTTCCAAAGAAAATTCTGATAAACTATAAGTTTTGGACTGTCAATATCAAATACTAAGTTTTAAAATTTAAGAGTCATGTGAAAACGACCAATTAGTTTGCCTCATTTCAATATGGAATGACTAAAGTGCGGGTTAATTCGCTACGCATGAATAGTTCGCGATCGTTTCGGTATCATAGGAAAAATATTCGAATATTAGCTTGATCTCCAAAATCGGTTTAAATAATACAAAAACTTTTACAAAAGCATATACGTTCCTTTCTTATTATTATTATCTTCGAAAGTCGGAGAAGTAATATCTGTGCGAATGGGACCAATTTTAGTTTTGGTACTATCGAATGTTGGACCAATTGAACTACTCTCCGGTGTCTAATTATCGGGCCCCCGTGATTCCTGATTTTTCACAAAAATTATAGGACACCCGAAGGAAAAGGAACTAATTTTGAATTTTTGAGATTCTTGAAAAAATCAAATAAATTGCACATTTTTACCTTGTGTGCTCCAAAAAATTGAATGGAGTAGCTTGGGAAAGTTTTTAATAAGCAAACAAAGATTGTGAGCATCGTCTTTCGTGCATTGTATCTATGTCATCAAAAGGCTTCAGAAATAATGATATTTGGTTGACTCACCGATAATTTAAGAGCCCCAAATAATTGATTTTGATTTCGCAACCTAGATCCCTGGTAGTATTGACCCCAAATAATTAAGCACCAGAGAGTATGCTTATTCTTTAACCAATTCAAAGAAATTTTGAGCTTTTCTGTTCACCTATCTATTTCTTTTGTATTTTTCGTTCTTCCTTCATCATTGAAAACAGCAAATTAATAATTATAGAGGAGATTGAATTAGTTCGCTATTATTGACTAAGATGGGGATACGTTGTGTATTTTGTATTTTTGCTTTTGAAGTGCTATGATTTCATTGGGTCTGTTTGAATTTAAGGGATGCCTGTAAATTCCCAACGTGCCTGAAAAACTTAAAAAATAAAACTTTTTCTAAAATCGACGAAAGTCTTTGTTTAGACTCTTTAGCATCGTTCTGTCTATTTTCCTAGAAGGCAAAAGGCTATTTTACATAGCTATTATCAGTAGGAATGTCGAGACAAGGATTGACTATTTGTATTGCTTCAGAGTACCACTGGGCGCACAATATGGGGTGCAGTGGGCGTAGGCACGTTCGGACTGGACCATGATCCACTACAGGTCCATCTGGATAGATTAAGTGGCAAACACACTCCCAAGTACACTTCCACTCGCTCTCATTCCAGTCCGATTGTGAATGAGCTATTTGAGGCTCTGCAACCATGTGAAGTGGTGCGCTTGGGGGGATCAGGTCACAAGGTTGGTGTATCATACACTAATTTTAGAGACCTTGAGAGATTAGGCTGCATAACGATATGTTTAAACTTTGTGGTTAGAACTAGAAGACTATAGTATGAATGAATATATTTAGCTCATAAACATAAACTCGGTATATATTCTTAGATCGTGTTGTCGATGTGATTTGCTGTTCTTTGAAATATTAAACGTGCTTTTATGATGATTCGTTTTTGACAATATAAGCAGACCCTAGATTTTTTCGTGAACCAGTTGTTATTTGTATAATTAAATATACAATAGAGTGTAACAAGATGCACCTGTGCCATTGAAAAAACTGATAGTAAAATGGACATTTTAACAGCCCCCCATTGTGATACCTAGTTCATAATTACCACCCTCAAAAAATAAAATCAATGGTTAAGCATATGATGCCTTTTAGCTAAGGAATTTTTCCCTCCTTGCAATAGGGGGCAAACAGTTGAAGATATCTGTGAAAAATACACACGAGAATGATTTGTGCAGGTGTTGGCAGTGTTAGATGGTACAGTGGATGCTTACGTGTACCCCAGTCTAGGTCTGAAGAGATGGGACTCATGTGCTCCCGAGGCAGTCATCACAGCCGCAGGTGACTAGTCGCCCTTTCAATATGTGCTAGTATCTTACTAGTTCACTAGCGTTGGACTATGAACTTGAAAGGTTAAAAAAGTGTGAATGAATTTTGTTTTATTGAAACTGATAAGGATATCTCAGAGTTTGGGTTATGCCTTGATTTTTGTCATTTTGAAAGTTTTTTTTGCAAAAATCAACAGTAGCTAAGAGATATGAGCAGTAGCGGATTTAGGGGGGGGGCGGCGCAGAAAATTTGATCAAATTAGGGTCTTTGTGGTGATTTAGAAGACCTCTGAAAATAAATTTGGTCGACCTAAAAAAAATTTGGTCGACCCCTCGAGAAATTCTTAGATCCGCGCCTGGATATGAGTATACTGGTGTTATGTGAACATCGGGTTGTATTCGATTGGAGTAGCCGGAAATAAATTTTAGGGGGTTATTTCACTGACATCACAGGAAAGAATTATGACTACTCGGCAGACGATGAAGATAGAATGAACTGGATGGGATGTCTTGCTGGATTCGGAGACAGCAAAACTCTGGCTGACAAAGTGCCACAGTCAATTGTAGACAAAGTGACACAAGTGATGAACACAAAGAAGGAGGCTAAGAAATAGAAATGTTTATTATGTATTAATCAGAAGTCGGTTCTTCTACCATTTGTTTTTGTCGTCTCTCGTCTGATTGAAATCAATTTTTGAGCATATTTATGATCTTCATGCTCAATCTTGTCGAAATGCGATTTAGTTTCATGGCAGAAGGACCAAATTGCAGAAATTTTCGAAGCAATCAAAGGCCTTAGATTAGCCCAAATCTTTTCTGAAATGTCACGGTTCCATTCAGACTTTTGATTTGAACTGTGGTTGACAATTATAGCTTTCTTTTATTGGTCCTGCTGCCAAAAGGTTCCACATGTGAAAAATAGTAATTTCGGAACCTCTGTTTTTGATGTAATCAAGAGTGACATGAACGGTCAATATTGAAAATTTTAAGTGCCTCTCCTCTGTTCGAGGGTTTGCTAAGTGAATCCATTGTAAACAGTGTAATTGAACTTGTATTTTATTTACTCAAATGATTCTATTTGTTTACTGCTTATTTATAAAGATATGCAAATCAAAAGTGCTCAAAATCAGAAATCTTTAGAACTAATCTTTTTAAGCTGAAACATTGAGAGCTAAGAATTTTTTGCTAATTTTTAGAAGCTGGAAGCATTGTTTTCTACTAGATTGTTACATAACGTAGATTTGTTTTCAGATAAGAGAATATGAATATTGTGATCACGTGAGATAGAAAAAATATTTTTCAAAACTGCTCTCTGAGAGTTTTCCGAAAGAGATAAAAGGGCCCCTAGATTTGAGGAAAAATGCAGTCGTCCACTCGAAAATCGATCACTTTCCTGTGTGCTCTTTTTGCTTTGTCAACTTCAATTTTACTCTCAGTTTTTAACCAATTGCCGGAATTTCCAGAAGACCACAAGCAGGTTGTGCAGAAACTTCCGCGAAGCATGGACGACGCGAAAGAACTTGCGCGAGTTTTGTCTCTGTATCGCGAGAACCACTATTATTCAGTGCTCACATGCTTGGCCTTTGTCTACATTTTCCTGCAGACTTTTGCAATTCCGGGATCTATATTCCTGAGTGTAGTTTTAGGATTTCTTTTCAATTTTTACGTGGCATTGTTTGTAATCTGTATGTGTAGTGCTACAGGAGCCACTCTTTGTTATCTTGCTTCTGGATTAGTTGGACCGCCTCTTTTGGAAAAATACTGCAAAGCAAGAATTGATCAATGGAAAGCGTCTGTGAACCATCATCGTCAGCACATGCTGAATTACATAATATTTCTGCGAATCACGCCATTTTTGCCAAATTGGTTCATAAACATCAGCTCACCAGTGTTAGATGTAAGTCTGTGGCCGTTTTTCATTGGAACTTTTCTGGGCGTTGCACCGCCGTCATTTGTCGCAGTGTCGGCGGGACAAAATATCTACAATTTGACGACAGCTGGGGATGCGCTATCCTACACAAGCATCCTCATGCTTGCTATCTTCGCAATTCTGTCAATGCTGCCTGTCATTTTCCAAAATAAACTGAAGGCTCATTTCAGCTAAAAATATAATGTAAGCAGTACTCACTTTAAAATATTAGAGTCATTTGTCATTTTATAAACTTCATATTAAGGGCAATCATTATAGTTTTCCGTGTTTTTAGAATTTATAAATTCTTACTTTATGAATTTACTAAATTATTTGATGTGATGATTTTGACAGTTAATCCAAGCTAAGATAATTATTGTATTTTTGATTAATGGGCATTGGTCATGATTTGAGGAAAAAACTGGAAAAAATGTACTGAAAGCGCGACAATTGTTTTTTGATCTTCAGGTGTGGGATCAAGCCTACACAGTTATAATAACTGGCCCATCATATTCTATTTTAGGTATCTTAATTACACTAGCAAGCTTGACGGCGTGGTGTATTAGTGCGAACCTTTTTTTCCCAGCGTTACTCGCAAATAAAAGTGCTCATTAAAAGTGTTCACTTATTTGGTGGCGATTTTGCTATAATCACGATCTGTAGCATTGGAAGTTTAATAGCATCTATTCTCAGCTGTATTTTTGGCTAGTGTTTGTTATTTATTAAGCGTCCGTGGTTGGTGTATGAGACTCATAATCTCTAGTTTGCAGATTGAATCCGAGGCTTAGCAGCAATTTTGCTACTTAATGGCTTATTTCTTTCTTTTCTCATTTCACTTTATAGAACTGAATTTTTACCGTGTTCTCTCTAATGTTGTCGCTTCGCCTTTTTGTACAATATCTGCTGCTGTCGTTTGGGTTATTGATAATAATCAAACAACAAAGAAGTGTTTTATTTGTCTTGCTCCTGTGACACTTTCACACAAAATTTACATCGAGAAGTTGCAAAAGTGCCACGATTTTCCATTTCAAATCGCAACCAAGCAATTGGTATGCTACGTTGTGGCATTTCAATGAGAGAATTTACTTAGCTTTTTCGATTTTGTATCTCTACTATTTCAAGACTTTCACAGAGATACCTAGCTACGGGACAAGTTGAGGACAGGGCGATCAGGAAGACCACGGGCATTGAACGTCAGATCAGTTCGAAGAGTTATTAGACAACACAAAGCCGATCCTCTTCTGAATGCTGCTACATCGGCACGACAATTTGGAGTTACTGCTCCCACTATTAGAAAATTTTTGCTTCGGGTGGTCTTCGATGTAGACGACCGTTTCGAGGCTCAATTTTTTTGCAGAGTAATCGTCAAAGGCGGCGTGCTTCGGCTCTGTCATGTGCAATTTGGAGATCTCGCAACCAAGGTGATCTCGCAACTTCAACCCCGAGGTGATTGGAAAAAGGTAATTTTCGGTGACGAGTGTCGCGTCTCACTGAACTCAGACGACAGGCGCTGTCTCATTTACAGACGGAAAAATTGCCGAATTTTGAATAAAAGCGTTCGGCAATTCGATGTAACAGCCAGCAAAAGTTTAATGATGTGGTGTGGAATTTTAGAAAGCTACCGAACACTTCATTTTTTGCGCGACACGCCGAGAGTTATGGCATTACAGCAAGATATTAGTGCCCCATGCCACTCAGTCCGTTTTACATTGCAATTTCTAGCGACAAATCCTGTTCCAGTGTTGTCCTGGCCTTCTTGTAGCCCTGATCTAAACCCAATTGAGCATGCGTGGTATTCTATTAAACGAAAAATTCGGTGAAAAAATCCTCAAATTTTGATATTTTGGGCTCGCGGAATTATTGCGGCATAGAGCACCTCTAAACCCGAGGTGATGAACAATTGATAAAGTCTATGCAGCGAAGGGTGATTTTATGCAGATCACAAACTGGGGAAGGCCATACTGGCTATTAATTGGCTGATTTTTCTTTTTAATTCTCAGTTTAATAAACTTCTCAATTCTCTAGTTGCATTAGTTTCATATACTGCAAAGTCATCCAGTATATAGTTCGTGATGACTTTTTTTCAAGAATTTGTTCACGTTGAAGATCGAGGTTTCGCTGTTTGACCTTTGATTTACTAAGGCTTGCGATTAGCAAAACTTCATCAAATCGGATTATAAACTGTACTCGGATCAACAACTTGTTTAACAAAATCATTTGATAGCTTGATTGATAATAAATTCAAGTTTGTTTTGCTTCTCTGGTGCACTTGGTCTACGCATGGAGACAATGACTAGGCTTGGTCTAGAGAAACTGTTTTTTTAACTAAAATTGTTCAGTTACAAAAAAATTCGGCCTATCATTTGTCTGCTGAAGATTTGGCGTAGTTGCCACATGACCCTCTTCTCTTGTGCAGTAAGCAATTTTCATTTATTTTTGATATAGTTTTTGAGTCATTTCTGTATTTTGTTTAATTAATAACTCTGACGTTGCATAGTTTTTTTCGATTCTACTTGAAAGTTTTTGTCGTTCTAAATGGCTTAGAAATTTTGCGTATTTCGAAAGTGATTGTTCTGCTGGACGTCTTTCTCTCAAATTGAACATAATTAGATACAAAACTTTGGATATTTTTGTTATGTTTAGTTTGACATCTTTTGGTTGCTTTTTTGCTTTTGTTTTCTACCTGCAAGCTTGCAATGTTTTGTTTGTTTTCTATCGCAAATGGTTCGAAACTTAGCTTCACCTCTGTTCTAAGTTGGTTACTTTCCTTTGTTGGAAGGAAGGCAAACTCATCTACCGAACTGCAAAGGTCACGAAAAACGTGAACGACTTCTTGTGTCAAAAAATGATCTCTAAATTTCTGAGTTGTAACTGCATAAAAATAATACCTTTCGTTCAAGTTTTTTGTAAATGGGATAAATTTTCGTAAAAAATGACAATCCTAAACAATTTTTACTATTAAAAAAACTCCGTAATATAGTATATTCTTCGAAGTTCGAATTGTTTATAAATTTCTATCCTTTTTCTGTTTCACGTGAGTTTTTTGAGACTTTATAAGCTGGTTTTTAGCTATTTTTTTAGTTATGCTGCTCGATTTCTGTGAGTTTTTTAAAGTGCTTAAAATAGTGCTCTGTTTTGGTGGCACTAGTTGAGAAGCATTTTAGCATTTATAATTTGTTTATTTGTGGTAAGTGTTTCGATTACATTAAGTGTTGTCACAGAGCGCAGTTATGTATACTAAAGACTCATAGAATGGAGTTTGGTTTTCGATTTTCGTAGAGTTTTTTTAGTGTATCTAAAATTATTCTTCACAATTGCGAGAGCATGTGTCTTATAATCGGGAACTAGACTTTTTACCGTAATTAACTTTTCGTACTAATCCATAAGGTCTCGGGTTCGAGTTTCGAACGGATCTTGCTTTTTTTCAGTATGAATGTGTTGTCGGACTTTTGTTTGTCTCTTTATTTTTTGTGGCTTAGTTGCCACATCTCTGATTTACTTGCCACATATTCTTTGTTATTTTTTTTTCGCTGACAATACTTAGTTTAGCCTAAATAGTTTCGGCGAAAATTTAATCAGCTCTTTCGACCAATATTTTGAATAGTTGGAATGGTAAAATTGTTTGTTTTAATACATTATTTGGGTCGGTTCTAGTGTAAATGTTGAACTTATAAAACTTATACGCTCAACATTTTTTGATGACAACAATCTTCATTAGCATTTTTTTTGTTTCGGAACAGTTTCTGTCTACCCGCGTAATATCGGCTTAGTAGTCGCTCGGAAAAGTATTAAAGCCTAATCAATGCTCGTGGTTGTGCTGGTCGACTTTTTAAAAATAAAACAGGTATTATGAAAATGTTATTGGGATCGGGTTTTTTTATTCTGGAAAATTTGTTTTTCTCAAAAACTACTCCACCGATTTTCAAAAGAGTAGTACTAATAGGAATTCCGCCCACTCCTGTGTACCTGCATACTCCTCTAGTCTGTTTTTACCTTACCCCACTTTCTACAGCCTTCGAAAAAAGGGGTGGGGAATTTTGACCAAATTTTTTTTATTTTTCACTTTTTCTCGAAAACTACCTGTCCAAATATGAGATTTGGATTTCAACGGATAGAACAGTTTGTGGGAAGCTCGTCTGCATAAGCGGCTACGCCCAATTTTTTTAACCAAAAAGTTTTGGCCCTCAAAATAGTCAGTTTTTCGATTTGTTTACCATTTTTTGAAACTTTTTCTCGAAAACTACCATCCCAAGTCTGAGATTTTAGTTACAATCGAACGAGCGCGTTGTTGGAAGCTCACCTGCATTAGTGGCTACGCTCAAATTTTTCACACAAAAAATATGATTTACTGAAATTTACAATTTTTTGATCGTTTTTTGAAACTTTTCGATTTTTCTCAAAAACTACCCTTCTAAATCTGACTGTTTTGTTTCAATGAGTAGAATGGGTTGTGAGGAGCTCCGCTACATAAACTATTACGACAACGCCAATATTTTTTTACGCAAAAAGTCATGACCCTCCGAATAATTCAAATTTTAGATTTTTTGACCGTTTTTCAAACGTTTTGACTTTTCTCGAAAAGTACCCTCCCAAATCTGAGATTTTGGTTTCAATAGGTAGAACGGGTTGTGGGAAGCGCTCTTGCATAAATGCTTACCCCCAAATTTTTTTCACACAAAAAGTTATGACTCTCGGAAAAGTCAAATTTTCGATTGTTTACTGTTTTTTGAAACTTTTTGACTTTTCTCGAAAACTACCCGCCCAAATCTAATGAGCAACGTTTTAAGCATCTTTCATCCTAACAGGCTCTTGTAATCACTTCAATTTTTCAGAAAATTGAAGTAATTGATGAAATTAACAGATTTTGAAGTCATTAAATAAGGATCTACTTTTCTTGGCTATAGGTCTGTTTTTGAAATTAAAATTGTCTTCGGCATCAATACAAAAACTTCAAAAACTATCAAAAAGGTATTTCAAGATTTAGCTGGCCTCTAGTTTATACAAAATGTGGTTTTATGCTTTCCAATTTATTACATGCAAAATCAGTGTGGATGCGTTCAGTTTGGTATATTCCAAACTATCACTCGTAAAATTGTGTCTATTTGTATTTGGTGCCACTTTTGCTGAATGTCATTGGCAATTTATTAGCATACGTAGCTGCTGTATTCGTGAATAGTGTTTGCCAGTTGTTAAGCGTTCGTGGCCGAGAGCACATGGCGTAAGATTCCAATTCTGGAGGTCGCAGGTTCGACGCCCATACGTATCCAATTTTTACCAATTCGAGGCTTATTTCTATCTTTTTGATTTCACTTTATAAAGCTGCTTTTTGTCATGTTCTCGCCGGAGTTTGTGAAGCGCAGCTTCGCATCTGTGTAGATTTTTTATTTTCAGAGGACTGATGCCTAGGTATTCACCAGGCTTCACGGATCAGGGAAGTTCTCGTTACGGTCGGGAATTTGGTGACAGCGGAAGTGGTTTTGCAGCAACATCCCACGAGTTTCAGGATTCAGGCTTTGGTGGTGGTGGTCGGGGTCGAGGTGCCCGAAAGTTTGCTAATAATGATAGATTCAACTCGGGAGCACCTGGTGACAACGGATATGGTGCAGTGTGTGGGGGGTCCTCTTTCGGAAACGAGAACAGGTCAGCAGCTACATTCGAAGGCGGTGGAGGAGGTGCACGCTTTGGATCTGGAGCTAAACGGGATGGAAATCGAGAGGTGATTTCCCTTGGCGCCGAAATGATTCCTCGTCTCATTGGAAAAGGAGGAAGCAACATTAAACGCGTGGAAACTGAAAACGGATGTAAAATTCAAATTCTAAAAGAGACTAAAACAGATTTGAAAACGGATATTGCAATTACTGGCAATGAAGCCGGAATAAATGGTGTAAAAATTTATCTGGAAGACGAATTTGGTTTCAGTCTTTCAGCTGACCGATCAATGCAAACGGAAAGTGCTTCAAATAACGATTCGTCTAATCAGTTCGGACAGTTTTCAAGTGGCTTTGGATCGTCTGAAGGGTATGGCTGTGGCAACAAACGTCAACAAAACTCGTCATCATGGAACGCAGAACCAGAAACAAGTGGTGGTTTCGGTTTCGGTAACTGGAATGAGCACAACTCTGCTGCACCAGAAAAATCTAGTGGATTTGCAACAAATAACTCGGCAGGTTTCGGAGATGCGAAAGGCACCAGAAGTGATTCACGTAACTCAAGAGGGTTCGGAACTGAACGAAGTTCTTCACGTGGTTTCGGAAACAATTCAGGTGGTTTCGGAACCAATTCAGGTGGTTTCGGAAACAATTCAGGCTCTTCAGGGCGCGAATTTTTTTCGAATCATCCTCGAAACTTTGGAGACGGTTCAAACCGTGGTTTTACTGGAAATTCACGAGGCTTCGGTGACCAATCGAGGAGTTCTGGTGGCTTTGGAGGAAATTCAAATGGCCCTGGTGGTTTTGCTAACAATTCCACTGGATTCAATAGTTTTTCTACGACTTCTCAAGAGTTCGGTGATTCTCAAAGTAATGGGTTTTCAAATACAAATTCGGGAAGTTTCCAGGGCAACTCATTCGACGGAAATCAAAGAGGAAGCCAGAGAGGAGGGTTTGGGTCGAATCGCCCGAGTAGAAATGATGAAGATTTCAGTGTTTTTTCCTCCAAAGGGAACTCAGGATCTAGAAATTCATTTGCAAATAATTCAGTTAAAGAAGACATGCCTAGGTTTGATTGGGGCCCAAAGGGGCCTCCGACTGCAGAGGCTTTCGCCGCATCAGTAAAAGGTTACGACGAATCATCAGTTCCAAAAATAGACTGGGATGCAGTGAGAAGCTGCAAACCAGAAGCTAGATTCAAGGACTACCCAGCCATAACTAAAAAATTCTATCGCGAGAGTCCAACTGTCGCAAATAGATCTGAGGAAGAAGTGAAAAGAATCAGAGATTCGAAAAATAACATCATCGTAAAAGACATGAGTAAAAGCGGCACTCGGAAAAGTCCAAACCCTGTCACCACTTTTGAAGAAGCCTTTGAACAATTTCCGGAAATTTTGGATACAATATACCACCAAGGATTCACGGAGCCATCACCGATTCAGTGCCAGGGCTGGCCAGTGCTGTTGAACGGCGACGATTTGATCGGAATCGCGCAGACTGGATCTGGCAAAACACTGGCTTTTCTACTTCCAGCTTTAATTCATATCGACCTGCAGCCAGTGCCTCGCGACCAAAGAGGTGGTCCCAATGTCTTAGTGCTCTGTCCTACCAGAGAATTAGCACTCCAAATTGAAACCGAGGTGAAAAAATACTTCTACAGGGGCATCAAGAGCGTCTGTGTGTATGGAGGCGGAGATAGAGCGAAACAAGTCAGCATTTGCACCGAGGGCGTCGAAATCGTCATTGCTACACCAGGAAGGCTGTATGACCTCATTTCTAATGGTAAATACAGTTATTATGGTCTTTATGGCACATTTCAGGTCCAAGTGTCAATGAACATAATAAAGACTCTTATCTAGGTTCTGTTTATCTTTTTAGGAAAAAGTCATACATTCGTTCACGCTAGCTCAATTTTGATTTCTCGCAGCTTGGCTTTTGATATATTTTTAAGCTCTATTCGAATTCAATTGCTAAAAGTCAGGCAAAGTATGCTCTCCAATAGCAAAACTTTGTTGCAATAGTTTGTTTTTTAAGAGTCGATGAACGGGTTTCAGACTGTTATACAGGGTGTCTCAAAAAGGGATCCAAACTGCAGACATCAGCTAGCTTGTTTATGCATCCCGAAAACTGCTTTCCTGAGCATTCTTTTAAGTTTCATTGCCTTGAATTCTTTTAAAATTTTACTTTTTAGGCCATCTAAAGATACCAAACGAGCTTCCTTGTAGACTCTAGCTTTCATTGTGCCCCATAGAAAAAAATTGAATTCTGTATTCTATAAGGGTAATGGTCGAGATCAATTTTAGTAAATCGGTTGAATGTGGATTTGGGTATTCAAGTTTCATTTTTTCCGTGCTGAGATTTCTGGGTTAGAAAGAGCAGATTGTCGAGCTACAAGAGTGTTTGCATAATTTTTAACCATTTTGCTTCTCCCGGATTTGCCTTGTTCAGATTTTGACTGGTGTGTTTTTCTTTATACTTCTTGTAAATCGAGATCTTGGAAACTTAAGAGCGAATTGACGAATAGTGAATGAAAAATGAGAAGCATGAAAAATTTAACGCAGTTTGAGTTTTTGCGGTATGAAAAACTTCAGTGAGTTTTTGTTCAGACGTGATTCAGCGTTATCGTTTTCAGAAAATCAGTGCTTAGGGCTGCCAAACATGTGTTCCAAGTTTCATGAAGTTTTATTTGGTATTTAAAGCGTACGTTCAGTTTGAATCCTTCTTTGGGACTCATTGTATAGGTCGCGGTATTGTTTTGTTTTTTTTTCAGGAAAATTTTAGGCTCAAATTTACTTCTTTGCGGTTTAACTTATTATTTCTTTTGAAGCTCAGTTCATTTCCTTTGTTAAAAGCGCTATCGAATTTTTTTTATTGAGAGACACAATAAATGTTTTCCTTATTTTCCCGTTTTCTCAAATTGGGTTAATTTTATCAAAAAGTGCTAATGATATATTGTTGTAAAAATTCAAAGAGGGCATCTATTTTTTTCTTTGAAACTCAAAAGTTGATATATTTAAAAAAACAAGTCAGTACTTTTCTTCTGTTTACTTGCGTTCATTGGCTCTTTTCCAACTGTCTAGTGGGTTGTTTTAAAATCTCAGCGCCAGCGGAATAAAAAATTATCTCTTGATCCAGTTTGCTCTAATTTGGTTGGTTTTATGGCTTAAACATAAATAATTTTTGACAATTTTATGCTCTTATATGGCTCTTTTATGCTGATTTGAAGGTAAATTGGCCTGTTTTGTTAGACGCAATGCTGAGAGTCAGCTTAATGTTGCATTTTAGGTATCATATCGATTATGAGTGTCACATTCGTTGTCCTCGACGAAGCAGATCGTATGTTGGACCTCGGATTCGAGCCCCAGATCTTGAAGTGCATGTTAGACGTCCGACCAGATCGTCAGACTGTAATGACTAGTGCCACGTGGAACTGGGATGTACAGAGAATCGCCGCCAAATATCTTACAGATCCTTTCTTTGTCAATGTAGGATCTCTGGACTTAACCGCTGTCCACTCAGTCACTCAGAAAATTGTGTTTGCCGAAGAAGATGATAAAGAACAGTTATTGTATGAAATGATTCGAGAAATGCAAGGCGATGACAAAATGATTGTTTTTATTGGTAAGAAAATTGTTGTTGATCAGATAGCAAGCAAAATGGCGCTAGCTAATATGCCTGCTGAGTCAATACACGGAGGCCGAGATCAGTATTCTCGGGAAGAAGCTATCGAATCGTTCCGTGAAAATGAAGTGAAAGTTCTCTTGGCTACAGACGTTGCGAGTCGAGGCTTAGATATCGTTGATGTGACAATGGTTGTCAATTATGATTTTCCGAGAAACATGGAAGAGTACGTGCATAGAGTGGGTCGAACGGGACGTGCTGGTAGAACAGGAACAGCGGTGTCTTTTATCAGTCGTCGTGACTGGGGTAATGCCAAAGAACTGATTCGCATCTTAGAGGAGGCCGACCAAGAAGTACCGGATCAATTGCGAGATATGGCCAATAGGTTCGATCGGAGACAGACTCGGATGCAAGCTGAAGGCGGGTTCCGAAGAGGCGGTGGCGGACGAGGAGGAGGAGGGGGGTTCGGCGGGGGCCGTGGTGGAAGGGGAGGACGTCGCGATCGAGACGAAGACGATCTTTTCTTGTTCAGCGCTTCTGGATTCATGCCTGGATAAAATAACGATTGATGTCACGGTAAAATTGAGATGTTTTCGTGTAACTTGAAACTGGAATTTCTCTCGTAACTTAAATTAAAGGCCAACTGATACATTTTCTGCGCTGCTAGTTTTAACTTATTGAACAAGTTTTTCTAAGAGCTTCGTGCAATAAATGTGGCCTGGTCCGCAAATATCTGCGGAAAACTGATTGAGCCTTAATTTATTGTATAAAATAGTACGTCGAATCGATTTCGAATTGATTGGTTGTTTGTTGATATGCAATTGATTGAATGTTTCGATGCTATTGAATTCGATTGATTTTGTGTTTTTGTCTTATTTATTATCCATAGTTGAATACAAAAGTTTCTTTTTTTAAGCATTAGAAAAATATCGATTCAGTAAATTTTGAATTATCCTTGTTGAATACAAATTAACTCCAAGTAGATTGTTCAGTGATTTCGAAGTGACTTAGAACTAGTAAACAGCCATTTTCTAAAAGGTTTTCTGTAGTCAGCGTGTAAAACATTCCCGCTCAAATCAGTCGTAGAACTATGGTTAGGAGCTATCGCGTGGTTGGTTTTTTTTTCGACCGGTCTTAAGTACCTCACAGAAAGTTCAAAAAGATCAAGTGTGGTATCATAGAAGCGTTCTTGGTTGTGATTCGGATTTTAAAAGTAGTTAATCAATTATTTAATGTTCGTTTCTGCGATTTGCTGAAGATCTATGAAAGGCTTTGCAGCCTGTCTAAACATAGTCCGTTTCTCTTATTTCCCACATTCCAGAGAGTTATTTTGTTGATTGAAGCTCTTTTTTTTTGCGTCTAAAACTTTCACGTGGTACCACTATTGCAGCCAAAACCGGTCAGGCTGTGGTAGACCTGAAGCTGGTGGTCAAGTGAGATGGCTGGGTATCGAGCACACAATCTGACGATTATGAAGTGAAAGCCTCGCCACTGTGCTAAGTTTCTCTTTAAAACCCCAAAAATAGTTTTATCACTGTCGAAAATAATTTTAGATGAATGAGTTAGCCTCCTTTTTAATTCTATTGCATATTTACACTAGCATATTTACACTTTTAATTCTATTGCATATTTCTATTGCATATTCTTTTTTCTAACTTAAGTCGCAAATATTGGTGCCACTTTTGGGGCACTTCTACAGCTTTTTGATAGCATGTGCTTTGGCATTCGAATAGTTATAAAATAACACAGTTGATGCATTTTTAATTCATCAAATGAACCGAAAAAATCAATTTGTTTCAAATTAATTTTTGGCAAAAATGTGTCTATTTGTATTAGGTTGCTGAATCGCAATGGCAATTTTAGCTGCTAACGTAAGTTTTAGAAAGTTAATTTTCTAACTCAATATAACTCGCAATTTTTCGACATGCATTATTTTTACATGATTTGGCTTTTATGCTTTCCGATTTGTTTCATGCAAAGTTAGTGTGGATGCCTTCAGTTTGTTATATTTCAAATTATTACCGGCAAAAATGTGTCTATTTGTATTAGGTTGCTGAATCGGAATGGCAATTTTAGCGGCTTTATTCCTGACTAGTGTTTGTCGAAGGTAAAGCATGCGTGGCTGAGTGGTAAGTGCGTGAAACTCAAAATCTCCTGATTTCAGTAGGTCGTAGATCGAATATTAAACCTAGACGAATATTAAACCTAGACGAATTTTTACTAATTCGAGGCTTTATTGGTGCCACTTTTGGGGCCTTTCTACAGCTTTTGATAGCATGTGCTTTGACATTCGAATAGTTATAAAATAACACAGTTGATGCATTTGTAATTCATCAAATGAACCGAAAAAATCAATTTGTTTCAAACAACATAACAATAATAAAAACTCGATTTCAGAAATTTTCTAACTCAATATAACTCGCAATTTTTTGACATGCATTATTTTTACATGATGTGGCTTTTATGCTTTCCGATTTGTTTCATGCAAAGTTAGTGTGGATGCCTTTGATAGTTAGCCTCCTTTTTAGTTCTATTGCATATTTACACTAGCGTCAGCTTGGTGTACTATTAAGAACCTTCTTTTTTCTAACTAAGTCGCAAATATTAGTGCCACTTTTGGGGCACTTCTACAGCTTTTTGATAGCATGTGCTTTGGCATTCGAATAGTTATAAAATAGCACAGTTGATGCATTTTTAATTCATCAAATGAACTGAAAAAATCAATTTGTTTCAAATTGTTTTTTTTTGGCAAAAATGTGTCTATTTGTATTAGGTTGCTGAATCACAATGGCAGTTTTAGCTGCTAACGTAAATTTTAGAAAGTAAATTTTCTAACTCAATATAACTCGCAATTTTTCGACATGCATTATTTTTACATGATTTGGCTTTTATGCTTTCCGATTTGTTTCATGCAAAGTTAGTGTGGATGCCTTCAGTTTGTTATATTTCAAATTATTACCGGAAAAAATGTGTCTATTTGTATTAGGTTGCTGAATCGCAAGGCAATTTTAGCTGCTTTTTTCCTGACTAGTGTTTTCGATGGTTAAGCATGCGTGGCTGAGTGGTTAGTGCGTGAAACTCAAAATCTCTTGATTTCAGTAGGTCGCAGATCGAATATTAAACCTAGACGAATTTTTACTAATTCGAGGCTTTATATTTCTTATTGCTAGAGCTGCTTTTTGCCGTGTTCTCGCTAGTGTTTGCGAAGCGCAGCTTTGCTTCTGTGGAAATCTTATTTTGGCTGTATTAATTCCATTTTTATGAATTACTATCTAATCGAATCATCTCACACCACCTCAAAAATTATTGGGAAGAAAAGAACTTTTTTTCGATCTTTTTAATTTTTTACCTATTTTTTAGTTCCTTAGTTTAGGTTGCTGTGATCAACCGGCTATTCTTGGCATCGTTTGGTTTCGATTGTTTCATGGACTCTCAAATACGATTGTCTTTTCAGAAAATCCTTGATTGGAATCAGCATTTTTGGTTCAATAATCTATTTATTATTTACTTCGCATTTCCACTGAGTTAGGTGAACGAGTGGTGGAAATAGCAAACAAAAATTTAGATTTGAAAGTAGTGTTTAATTTGGAGGCCAGTTTAATTTGAAGGACATTTATTCAGAAATTGACCTATATAGTCGAAAAACGAAAATGGTCAGACCAATTTTTCTCGTCACTGAGACCACTTTTGCGATTTTTTGGGATTCGAATCACGGCCAATAGGGCTTCATTATGAAATCACTTTTTACCCTCACGAAATTTCTTTGTAGTAGTCAAAACTGACTAAAAAAATAAAAGTTGTCGGAACAAAACATTTATCGGTGGCTTTTTACAATAAGATTTTTTTTATAAAACTTTAGAATCAGATCATCGCATTAAGCTAAATTGCGGAGAGTTTCTCACAAACTACGAGAGTCAACACGAGTTGCAAGGTTTATCAACGCTGCTGAATGTTGAAACTTGAAAAAAAAAAGTGAATAAAATATCTACCTGCAAAATCCAAAACCAGTAATTGATGACTAGTATATAGCTTTCAGTAGCTTTTGCTTTGAGGCATTTTTGGCACCTCTTAATACCGTGTTCATACCATAGGACCGAAAATTTTTTGAAAAACTGATGATTATAGATTTTGTAGATGCGCTGACAGTGATGGCTGAATCCAACTCGGAAGTCAACGACAATGCTGGCCTTTTTTCTCCGATCATCCAACCCAGTGACCCAAAATGTATCTCTGTACCTAGCTTGGAGAACCTCAAAACCCTTACTGTTGCATCTGCTCCCGGTAGCTCTCAAAGTAGTAGCAGTTACGATGTTGCTATAAGAAGTGAAGTTCCTTTTGGTCAAATCAAGGTACTGAAGTGAAGTTTCATGCTTTTTATGCTTTCATAATTACACTTGCGAGCAGCGTAGTTTATTAGTAAGAACCTTCTTTTTTTCCTAACCTAAGTCACAATTATAAGTGTTCATTAAAAGTGTTCACTTATTTGGTGCACTTTTGCTATAATCACGATCTGTAGCATTGGAATTTTCATAGCATCTGTTCTCTGCTTTATTTGTGGCTAGTGTTTGTGATTCATTAAGCATCTCTGGCTTAATAATTAGTGCGTGAGACTCATAATCTCTAGGTCGCGATCGTTCGGAGATCGAAGCCGAGATGCAGCCGAAATTTTGCTAGTGTTTGCGAAGCGAAGCTTCGCCTGTGTCATAATAATCTTATTATCTGTCTGATCATTGTTCCATATACTTATGTTAACTGAGAAGTTATAGAAACATATCTCTGTTAGATGGCGCAGAAACTACAAGATGCGCGTATATGCGTAATGCAGCTTCAGCTCTGTATTGTATCCCAATTTTAGGACCACTTCACTTGTGGAATTTGCAAGGGTGTGCTAGTGGATGTGTGCACAATCATCGAGTGTCTCCACTCCTTCTGCCGATCATGTATACTTCACCACATCTACAGCTCCACCAAGTGTCCAAAATGTGGATTTCAGCTGAACGAAGTGGTCCCAATTAAAGACATCAAGGCCGACCCCAGGATGCAGGTATGCATGGCTGCAATTTTGATTGAAATTGATATGTAATTTTGGTGAAGATATTGCTTTTTTTAAAGAGTTTTGAACTTAAAGAAGACTCTCATAAAGGTCCTCCTGATTTATTTTCAGGAAAAGTCTCAATTTTGATTATTCGTGGTTTGATTTTTAATTTGTTTTTAAGTTCATTTTATTTCCATGGTTAAAAGGAAAGCAAACTCCGCTATCGAACAACGAAAGGGTTCAAAAGTGGAATTTACTTATTAGATTTCCCAGCGGAATAAAAATGTACATTATCCAATCATCTCAAATTGGGTTAATTTTGTCAGAAAAAAAATATCCAATCATAAGTTTTTTCTTGCGTTCATTACGTTTCTCGGGCTGCCAGTTGGCAATGTTTTGAATTGCCTGTACCAATGTATAATTACACAAGCAAAGCTTGTGTTAAGTATGAACAATTTTTTTTCCAACCTGAGTCGCAAATATTGCTGCGAAAAAATGTGTTCATTTTGAAATTGGCCATTTTGATCAATAACAAGCTATTAAGTACAGCCAATGCTAAGGATATTAACACAGACTATTATATCAAAATAGGACTTAAGCTTCAAGGTATCATGGATCTGTAGCGTAGAGGTAGGGAAGGAGTCCCGCAACAAAAAGAGATTTTCTTTTACTAGTTAAAATGCCTTCGCTTTATAAATTGAGGCATTATAGTTGGTAATTTTTTTTTTCAAATTGACTAGTACTGCTAATGCGTCATAATTGGCTTGCGTAACTTACCAACTATGTAGACTCATAATTGGTGTGCGTCACTTAAGAAATTTTGTTGACTC